TTTTTAATTATAGGAAATCCGTTTTTCTAAAGTACATAAACTTCTCGGATTGACTGTATAGCCAATACATCCTTAAATTAAATAAGTAATTAAATTGCAGGATTAATGAACACGATATCTGCAATATTCATCGTCTATCTCGGTGTTCACGCTGGCAAGATCTTGATACAGTACTATCAATGCAATTCGCGAGTGATCAGATGGTTACTCTGGGCAGTCCTTACGGTAAGAACGTTGCAAACAAATTCTCTGTCTTTTCTTATAATTTATAAATATTTTCAGGGTATCGTTGCTGGAATCTTGTGCAAGTTCAGTGCTTCAGAAGGAGTGATCCCGATCAGCAAGAAGATGATGACCTTGTCGTACGTCTTGGCTTGTTCCAGTTTGGCTTTCCTCCTCTACACGATCCTGTACGTTCTCATCGATTACAAGCAAGTCTGGAGCGGAGCACCGTTCATCTACGCTGGTACGTACACCTAAGGGAAAGAAAGACCAGTCTTTGAATCGAGGTGTATATCTGAATATTTTTTGTAGGGTCGAACCCGATCTTCATTTACGTCGGTCACGTGCTGACGAAAGGCTTATTCCCCTGGGCTTGGCACTACGCTCATTCCTGCCACGCGGTCGAACTTATTATCAACTTGTGGACAACGGTATTATGGGGACTGATCGGTTACGTTCTCTACCGGTCAGATGTTATTATAACTATTTAAAAGTAATAAGTGTTTAAAAGAAAGTATAAATGTTTATAACGACTGGAATATTTTTGAGTTTAACATTTCTAAGATCACGAAGAAACGGAATCATTTTATTTGAAGACCTCTGTTAACTGATACTATGTGAAGAATCCCCTGGATTTAATTTTAATTTAAGCGTTACACTGTAGTTCTAATAAATGTAATAATAAATAAATGTATTTTCTTCTGTACTCGTTCTACTTTCGGTCCTTTGGTTCCTTGTACGGTAGTTTCAGAATTCGGAATATATCCTCCTCGCACGTGATCTCTTCTGCCTCTCCCGGAGTTCCTGCATGATAAATACCGTGAATACTATGTACTGTAACTGAAATCGGTTTTAATATACCTTCCGGCGTAAGGCGTTTCAACGCGTATTCGTTTAAAGTATACTTCATTGCCAGAGCGTGAGCTCTCATCTCCTTGTTAAAAAGATCGCTGCCAGTGAAATAAAGTACGGCACAATAATACTGATCGTGGAACACTAATCTAATATCCAGTCTTCTAAACGGTTTATCTTTGCTCCCTGGGAGTTGACAGACTCCCTAAAATCGTACAATACTTTTATAAATATTCTCTGAAATCCTAGATAACTGGAATCGTACCATGAATTTCGTTCGACCAAGAGAAATCGTGTCGACGATCAGTTTCTTCTTTTCTAAATAATCGACTATATTTTTCAACGAAGCAACGTTGTTCTTAGAACCGTTCGACGTGTACATCGGATGCGTTAACAGAGCGTCGATGTCTCCGCTCTCCTCTTTCTCACGTCTGTAACTTCCACAGATAGTTACGATGTACTCCTCGTCTAAATCCTGAATGGCATTCTTCATGACTCTCTCGATCTCCTGAATCTCCTTCCGGGGGATTCTCTTCTCGAAATCATCGAAGTACCTAATGGATAGTAATCGTTATAATAGGAAACAAACGTTCGGTTCTTCTCTATCGTACTTGAGACCAATCTTTTGATGATGATTAAGCTTCGCCCGGGGTTCTTTCAATTGTTCCAAAGTCTTGATCCCAGCGTCTACCAATTCCTTCGCCTTCGCTGGACCGATACCAGACACTCGGGTCAGCAGATTAATCGCGACGTTCGTGTCGTCTTTGTTAATCTATAAATATGTACAAAGTGAAAGTATTTTGTGATGTAAATGAACAGGCGATCGAATATGTACATCTTCCAACTTGCGCAACTTCCCGGTGGTGAGAAATTCTTCGATTTTCTTGGCGATCTTCTCCCCAATGCCCGGCAGCTTCCTCGCCTCCTCGCCGCTCTTGACTCTCTCTGGCAAGCCGCTCAGGGTGGCCGCTGCCTTTCGATAAGCATTGTACTTGAACACGTTCTTACTGACGTTCCGCTCGTACTGTGCTAACTCTTAAATTCAAAAACCCGCTGCGATTACCGATCTCGGGAATGACTCACGACAGCGGAGGCCGCCGAGATAACACGGCGTTCAAAAAATGATTCTACGACAACGACTGATTTACCTTGTAGAAAATCGCAGAGATCCTGATTAGGATTGCCCGCGTTATCGTTGGCCTTTCGTTTTCCCATTACAGAAAGTAAATTGATCCGAGGTTCTCTCGAGGTAAACAAGATCAATTCCCATAGAAGCGATGCGGAACGAATCGGGAGACGGGAGTTGGACACTGCGTGTCGTGTAAGCGGGCGATCGATCGGCAGAATTTTATTATCATTTCAAATCCCGTGGACGTTGATTTAATAAAAAAAAGATTGTAAATCCAAAAGTCTAAATGTTCGTCTAGGAATTTTCTTAGAACGGTAACGCGAGGTTGGGTCCGTCTGTTATACCCTAGAATAGGTTAGGTTACCAAACACTGATAGCAAACGGAAAACTATTTATGTGGTGATCCGTTTATGAATCCACTTGGTGTATAGTGAGTGCGAGCCACGAACAAATGCAGTGACTGATTTTTGTATCAAACGCATGGTATATATAGCCTCGAATTGTATATATCAGTTAAATATGATATTCTATCCGTTTCGATGTGTTAGACAATTATTTTGAATACAATGTGAACCAACAGCCACCAGCGATATATGTACATATTTCCTGACAAATGTAAGCGATCGTTCCATACTTGCTGTAAACCCGCATAAGCTTTAGGTTATTAAACCGTATCGAATAATTTCGCACGCTATTAATACTAATAATCATCATCCCTTACGAGTTACATAAACCCTTTGCATTCCCTTGGCGCCTAACCCCATGGAGACGCTCATATTTTTATCAAACGATCAGCCGAAAGCTCCTCGCTGTTCTAATAATGATTTCTGTTTAAAGAAACCCTGGCACACGATGGCAGAGCAACAGCAGTCGTCCTCTGGGTTTAAACGCATGTCCTTAGACAAAATTATCGAGGCAATGACTTCAGACTTGGAGAGTTCTAACGGGCATTACGTTCAATTCGGAGTGAACCCTCAGCAAACGACGTCTCACAATTGGGGTGATTATCCTTCGAGTCAGAGGCATTACATGGCTGGTCAGCCTCCTCATTCTAGTCCTCCACCTATGCACCAGCCGATGAGCTCCATGGGTGCTCCTTTGTACATGCAGAACAACATGACGAGCTATGATTCCACTGCGGATTCGATTTACTTTCCGTCTCAGGCGGTGAATCATTTGGGGATAAACGAGAATAATGATCTGATCGGGACTATTGACGTCGGTGGACGGAATTACATTAACGTGATTTACGGGAACGCTTCACAGATCATGGCTGAACAGTGCCAGCTTTTAAACATGACGTCTTACAGGAATCAGAATATGATCGACAGGGAGTACGGGCTGTTCAACGATCAGCACATGGCCGCGAGTCCTGAGTTGCCTACGCAGAATTTCAACGGGAAACAGTTGATCGAGAACTTGGTTGGTAACTGGGTACCAAATCAGTCTGGCACTTACAGCCCGTTCGGTGGATCGCAGAACGTCACGCCGGTACAATCGAACGTCGACGTGAGAGATCCGGAAGAGTTACCGAGAACTCCGACCGATGCGCATTATAAGAAACCTCGTGCGGTGGCGGAGGTGAAACCTATGCGGCCTTCTTATTCCGACGTTTTAACGAAATCAGTTCCAACACCGCCGTCCCCTTTGACCATTCAATCCTCCAAGCCGAAAACAGAATCCGTGAGCAAGAAGGTTTCTAATAAGAATTCTAAGAATAAGTCGAAGTCTACAACGTTGAAGAGGCAGAACTCCTCCGGCAGCGACGATCACAATTCACCGAAGATGCAGATACCCCGGAAGACACTGGAGAAGAACTCTAATCTACCGAGACGTTGGGTATCGTTGGACAATCTCGGTTCTCCAACGGAATCCCATGAAATCAACACTTTCGATAGATCTACTCAGTTCGAAAAGAGGAAGGTTCCCAAGCTGGCGAAGAAAGTGGAAAAGGGGGAGACGCTTAATAACTCGAAAGTTCAAACTAATCCTAAATCCACGGGGAACATTCCCAAACGTCCTATACAGATAAACAATAATTTAAACATAACGAACACTTCCAGTCAAACAGTCTCCCCGGAGAAGATCGAGAAGAATCAGCAGGTGATAAACAAGGCCAAGGATGACAAGAAGATTAAGGAAAAGAGTTCGAAACGTTTTCAAACTGATAAAACGCAGCAGATTAAGAAAGCTCAGAGAAATCGTAGAAGGGAGAACAGGGAATCTCCAGTAAAGGATTTATATAAAAGCTTGAATAAATACGCCAGTCACTGGATTAAAATTGGATTGAAGATATTTCACTGGCTGTTGCATTTGGTATCAGACGTAGTAAGCATGAGCTGCAATCTTACAATTCTTCTGTGAGTAAATTCATTAAAATGATTTACATTTATAGTCCGAATAATTAATTGTCTTTATTTAAATTGCAGTGGCAAGTGCGCGTGGTACCACACTATATTGTATTTCAAATATTCCTGGGTGTATCTGGCCATGACGTTCTCCAAGATTCGCATTTTGAACGCAATTGGGAAACAGCTGGACAGCTGGTTCGGCAACAGTAGATTCGCGTTCTGGCGTAAGATTAAGACTAAGAACGAAGAGAAGGAAGATAATAGTAACTGGATCCACGGTGGTCTCGAAGCTAACATCGCACTACCCAGCACCGGTGAGGAGGCTATGAAAAGACTGTTGGCCTGCAAAGGGAAGGACCCTTACAGCATACTCGGCGTCACGCCGACTTGCTCCGACGACGATATTAAAAAGTATTACAAAAGGCAGGCTTTCCTAGTTCACCCTGACAAGAATAATCAACCGGGCGCGGAGGAGGCTTTCAAAATACTCGTTCATGCATTCGACATCATCGGCGAACCGGTACGTTCACAGTTTTCTTTAATTAATCGCGAAATTAATTGGAAATATTTTAGGAACGTCGACAAGCGTTTGATCAGACTAGACAAGCGGAGGCTGCCTGGGGCGTGTTAAGCGATCTGCTCTCTCAGCTTCATAGGAAAATAGAACAGGCGGCTAACACGATAAGATGCACCAACTGCGGTTTGAGACACAAGAGGATCCCGACTCAGCGGCCTTGCTACGCGGCGCGGTTCTGCGCTCAATGTAAAATACGACACAGCGCGAAAGAGGTAATTATATTAAAATTTTAGAAAATCTGTAGAGGCCTGACGGTTTGTACGTTTCGATCAGGGAGATATCTGGGCCGAGTCTCGTTTGATGGGATTTCTCTGGCATTACTACGCCTGCATGGAAGGTGCTGTGTACGACGTCACTGACTGGGCGGCTTGTCAAGCTGGAAATTTGAAACATTTAAGAGCGAACACGCACAGCGTGCAGTACAGAATCGTGCTGGGTCAAAGGCCACCCTCGCAAATGAACAACACCGGTAAAAGGCGGCAGCAGATAGATCCGAACACGAGGTATTCGATTTGACGAAATAACCCCGCGTTCCTTTTGAATAATCGTTACGTTTGTTAAACAGCGAGACCGACTTTGAAGATTTTTTAAATAATTTGTACAACCATAACAAGACCGGGAACTCGAGTACATCGGAGCAGAACTCCTTCGGGGGTGATTCCAAACGCCGTAAGACCAAACGCAAGAAGTGAAAAACCGACGATGGCAAGTTACTTTCTGATTTTTGGCACCTCCGTCATGTGTAATTATACAGTAATATAAAAAGATTCGTTTATCAATTCTTATACTCTTTTTCCTTTATACAAATATAGATGATAGCACAAAGCGTTTTAATTGTATCAGAGTGGATTTTAAAAAATGTTTGCCCTTCGCGTTTTCTTCGTCTGTCTTTTCTTTTTTTTTTTATCACCACCAGTGATCGATTGTTTTTAAGAAGATTGTATATACTTGGCGCAAGAACGTTGCAGAGTACAATTTGTTTAATATAGCTAGGCGACGAAACTGTTTGTTTGACATTAGCAGATATTTTAATTATCCATTTATATACGAGGATTAAATTGTACTTTTCTAGACCGATAAGATATAATTTACTTTAACTTGTATTTTAAGAAACGAGAAGTGATGAGCAGCCGTACTAAAAAAAAAACTGTTGGAATGTATTGAATTAAAGTAAGGCGAAAAGGAGAACGACTCAGTTTTTAGTTAATACAAAGCGAAAGCGAAAACGAAAACCCTTATTATTTTTAATCTTTCCTAACAATACTCGAATCACTAACATTTGTTACAAAATGTTGATAGTTGTAACAGTTTACTTTTTTAATTTAATGAAACCGAAAAGCAATCAAATAAATCGCTTGGAACCACAACTTTCAAATGTAACGAGCAAGCAATACATGAACCTCGATTAATTTTTATATCAAATCCCAACACGTAATTCGAAATCTGTTACCCCTGCTTTCTCTTTAACATTAGATTGCCCAAGGACACAATGCAGTGATTTTTACTGCTTTTCGGCAATATAAGTATATACTAAGTTTCAGTCTTTCTAGTGTTAATTATAACTATGATCTCTGAACATCTAGCATAGAAGCTAAATAATTATTGGCATAAGACTGATTATTTCTCATGTCCTCTGTTAGTAAATCTTCCCAATACACTGGATATTCTTTGACACGAGTCTCTTGGATAAAACGAATTTAGAATTAGAAGCAACGGGGGCTTGAAAATGTTGGAATACTTAAAAATGTGTATATATCAGTCGTGGAACTTTGTATACTCGTAGGATAAAGTTACCTGTTTGTACATGCAGATAAAATTGTATATTAAAGGAGTTTTACAATAAAGATACATCTGAAAATACGAAGCATTTCTTCTCAATGCGTTTTATATAAAAATACAAAAATAATTAAATATAAACGTGAGTTCAATCTAGCATCCCCTCTAAAAATACAAGCGAATCGACGTTGTCAATCGCATTGGCAATGTCTCTTTTTTGTATCAATTTCTTTTTCATCTGTGCCGTGTATTTATACGACTCTTTAACGAGAGAATCGATAAACAGTTCCTGCAATGATACGAAACGGACCTGAGCATCGAGCAAAACCGACCTTCGTCTCATAACCTCGCGTCGTGTCGTAGATAAATGATAATTACCGCAGCCTTGGAAATCAAGAAAACTGCTTCTTGATTAACCATATTAACCTCGGGATCCATTTTAATCAGCGACTTTATCCTACCTAAAGGGAATCTCAGTAATTTCTCTTTTTGCTCCTCGGCATTGCCTTCGGTCTCTTCCTGAAGAGAATCCTCCTCCTGCGCGTCTTCTCCGACGCCCTCGTGCGATTCTACATCATCGATTCTGTTTTCTTCGTTCTCCATTTTCATAAATTAGTCGCACTTTGTCCTTTTCCACGGTCTTATTATTTTAGTAATAGATTTTGGAAGGTTCTAACCTCACGTCTAGCCGAATCGAATGGAACGAGCAGGAACCGCGGGAACAAAATACCCGAACTACTATTGGTCAATATTTGCCGCAGATATTGAAGCCAACCAATGGTTGGGTTCTTGGTCGGGTTCGGGTTGCTCGTGGCGTCATCTAGCGTAATCGGCTCGAAATATACACTCTGTATTAGGCGAATATAAAGTGATAGGAAGTTCCACTAACTCCTCGTGTGACGTCAGCAACAGGAGTTAGTGGTGCCTCCTTTGATTCATATTCTCCTAATATGAAGCGTGATTGGTTAGAAATCCAAAATGGCCAACGATTGAAAGCACGATTGGAAACATCCGTGATTATATTCTGTGATTGGTTAGAAATCCAAAATGGCCAACGAATGGAAACTGACGTCACACTAGGAGTTAGTGCTACCTCTTCCAACTTATGTTCTGTGATTGGTTAGAAATCCAAAATGGCCAACGAATGGAAGCGTGATTGGTTGTTCAAATGGATGCGGAAGGGCGTATGCGCGTATCCCAACACTGTTGCTGACGTCACACGAGGAGTTAGTGGAACTTCCTATCACTTTATATTCGCCTAATACAGAGTGTATATTTCCAGCCGATTACGCTAGATGGTGCCACGAACAATCCCCGAATATTTCTCATTGGCTGTACAAAATTTATGTATTTGAATTATGACAATATATTGTATTTTTTCCTCCTCGCGCGTACGTTGACGAACGAGCTTGTTCAACGTTAAAATTGATTAAAATCCATTCGATTATTTGTTTAATCTCACGAATAAATGCTCTAGCGACGTCGTCAGAGTTTCGGGACACAGTGACCTCTCTAAACGTTCTTCTGATACATCGGTAAATGTCTTTTCAATTTCCACATGGGCATCAGGCTTTTATTTACAACTGATAACTTGACAGTCGATTTGAAATTAATGAAGACCTCTTGAAATATGGAAGAGAAACCGTGCAAAGAGCAGCTGTCGGAAAATACAGGTTCTCAAAGCTAAATCTAAATTCAATCAACCGTACGTATAACTTATTAAATTCGTTTTATTCCAGATATCAACCAAGATGAGTTGATTCTACAACAACAAAGGCGAATCGAGATGGAGGTTACTATGCACTTTATTCGTTTTTTAAACCGTCCCGTCCAACGTTTCCTCATCACCCGGTATTCGTTCTTTCCGTAACGAATCCACCCGCCGTTTCCCGTCGTTTCTAATCATTGTCACTAACGTTCCTTTTCTCTGATACGTTAATAAACGTTTTGTTTACCAAACGTGTCTTCTAATTTTTTCGTCGTCTCACAGATCTCCGAGTCGATCGCGTTGGTCGGCGAGAAGGAGTCGTTAAGGAGCTTAGAACGGGAATACTCCGAGGACGAGGTGTACCTTTCGAAGGCCAAGGCATTGGGTCAAAAGTATTCGAACATCAGGAGAACCAGGCCGGACGGGAATTGCTTCTTCCGGGCCTTTAGTTACGCTTACCTCGAGAAATTAATTGGAAACAAAGACGAGTACGAGAAGTTCCGAGAGCTCGCGTTGAAGAGTAAAGACAGTCTGGTAGCGCTAGGTTTTCCCCAATTCACGGTCGAAGATTTCCACGACACGGTAATTATTCAACGACAATCTAAGTATCTTCGTCTCATACTTTATAGTGCAGAAAGTAGGAGCAATTTGGTGCTTGTTTGTAATTACAGTTCATGGATGTGATCGACAAAGTGGGTGGAGACACAGAGTCAAGTTATATCGAATTGCATAAACTGTTCAACGAGCAAGGCTGCTCCGATTACGTTGTTGTATATCTTAGATTAATTACTTCTGGTCAATTACGGCGCGAGGCTGATTTTTATCAACATTTCATCGAGGGCGAGCGTACCGTCGCCGAATTTTGCCGTCAAGTGAGTATCTCAAGGATCTCAGGGAGTTAATTTACATTAAGAACGTGTAAATAAAGTGATTTTCTTTCAGGAAGTAGAACCAATGTACAAAGAGTCTGATCACATTCACATAATAGCAATGAGCACGGCTTTGGGTACCGGCGTTCGTGTTCGTTACATGGATCGGGGCGCGGGTACCGAAGTGACCGCACACGACTTCCCCGAAGGTGCCACGCCAGCCGTTCATTTACTATATCGTCCTGGACATTACGACATTTTGTATCCTTGATAAATTACACCTAGTTTCCTTTTGAAAAACAAAATACATACACACAAACACATACACACAATCACACACTCTCGCCCGACACAAGGATTGATTATTTAGCAAATTGTATTTTGTATATGTAATCAAAATTCAAGGAAATTCTGGTTTGGTTCAATATCACGTTGTAAGTAACTAATTTAAAGGCGTTATAGAATATTCAATAAAATTAAATTTTATGTAAAATGGATTGTATTCCTCTCCTCCCAAAGTTCTTTAATTCATTGCACATTAGAAATTACATTTACGTACATAAATATCACAATTAAATAAAATCAATAAATCTATACTCCTTATTCTAATGATATAAATGAAGATGTTTCGTTTATCTTTGCATGGCACGTACTTGTTCGGTAACTTCTTCCAAAATTACAGAACCCCGTTGAATAGAATCCATCTGATACTCTAAATGAGTAGTTATCAGAGCGATTTTTTTCAAGCTCGCTTCTGCGGTGTCTAAACTGTGTTCCTGCTGTGCAAAGTTCTTCGCACTATGCATCAGTATCTAAAAAAAAAACAGAATCCTTACGGAGGAATCCTGATTCATTATTACAATTAATTTTACCTCGCTGCTTTTGGATCCCCTTTGTATCTGCCTCGCGAGAGACGCAATGTTGTTCACGTTGACTTGTACTCGGTCGGCTAATCTCATTTTCGACTCGACGAACAAGCTCCGAGCACTCGTGCTTGAAGCCGAAGCCATTTTAACGTGAATCTTTGATTTCAATCGTGATTAATAAATATCCAGACTCCTTGGAATCGTTTCCCCGCACCTGCTACGAATGCATCATGCGTCGCATGCAGAAAGAAACTGCGAGCTAACCTCAAACCTCTGACGTGTTTACACGAAAACATAAAATAAACTCGTAACGAATATGCGTAAATAAACTTTTTTAAATTGTTTTTAATGTGAAATGGAAACGCACGTCGACGACGTTACTTTGTTGGCTAAAGAAATTAAAAAGAGGAACAAATTATCGACGTACGAAGCACAGGTAACTTTAAATATGTCAACTGTTTGATGTTGTTATTTTAATTAATTGTTTTCTAACAGTATTTGAAAGGACTACAGATATGTTTGAGACGCCCAGTGTTACCTCAGCACGAGATCGAATCTCGTGCAGGGTCTCACATTCCTACGCATGAGGAAATGGAAAGATTCCAGCAAATCGCTTTTATAAAAAAAGGAAGCTTTGAGCCAAGCGAGGATATCAGAATTGCTAAGAATTGGAAGAAATTCTGCAAGGTGCGTCGTTTGAAATACATTCGTACAACTGATTAAAATATATTCCTTTGTCTGCAGATTCACAATTGGGATCAGAAGAGGGTTGAACCATTCCTGCATTTCAGGGAGGGTAGCAAGACGCACATTCGTAGCAAACAGGCGAGGAAGAAATTTGTACAATTTTTAGCTCACGGACTACCGAACAGAACTTTGTACAGCGTCTATCACAGATTTCGGAACTTGTACGAAGACCGTTTACAGAGGAGGTGACAGAACGAGGCTGCAAGTTTAAATAAATTTATTCTGCTGATCTCAATCGATATAATGCTTATTCCTATGTCTGTAGGTTTCATCCGGACGAGGATAGGATGATCCTGGACCATCTGGAGCATAATCCGCATTTGGATGAGAAACGAAAGTACGCGGACCTGGCGAAAGTTCTGAAACGAACCCGAGCGTCCATTTGGCGTCGTTACAAGATCCTTCGAAGGCGACACGAACGTAAATCGTCGTTATGAACGTCCGAAGGTATAAGGCGAATTTCGTATCTGTACTTTTTTAAATAAAGTTGTTGAAGACAAGTTTTATACCTTAACACGAATTCTAACTCGATCAACCGCTGTGCAAGTCATTGAAACGTATAATAATCAAGTATAATGAGCACGTAAACGAACATTCTTCTGTAAAAAAAAGAGCTGCCCATGTATTTACACAATTATACGTTTTCTACAGTTAACGTTACACGTTCCATGAATCGGCACTGGTATTGTCTCTATATATTTGATAATAGTGCGTCAAGCGAAATCCTGTCGTTTTAAAACATTTGTCCAATCACAGCGAGTGATCTAACGGCAGATTGCACATTATTTACATGAATATGATGAGTGACGGTGTGGTGGTGTTCGTCGACGACCATCTCGCCGTACTGAGCCCTGCAGCGTTTTTGATGCGCGAACAGACTACCGCTGTGGCTGTACGCGGCTCCGCAGGTTTTACACACGTACGGTTTCTCGCCGGAATGAGTGTAAGTGTGCTCCTTCAAAGTACTCAGTCTTTTGAACGCCTTGCCACACGTTTTGCACAAGTAGTTCGCTTCACCGGTGTGTCTGGTCAAGTGCCGTCTGAACGCCGAGCTGACGGCGAACGCCGCGCTGCAGACGTGGCAGACGAACGGTTTGTCGCCTGTGTGAATCCTGATGTGATTCGCCAGACTCGTGGTCGTGGTGAACCCGCTGTTGCAGGTCTTGCAGACGTGCGGTTTGATCCCCGTATGAGTTCTCATGTGATACGTCAGAGAGGAATTGCTAGGATACACTTTGCTGCAAATGTGGCACAGGTACTCCCGCGGCACCTTCTCTTTCGGTTTGTGCGTCCTTTGATGGAGAACCAGTCGAGCCTGGCTGGCGCACACTTTGCCGCATATCTCGCAGGTCACCGGCTCGGCCTTCGGCTTGTGCATCGACACGTGCCGCCTGAGGCCTTTTTTCGTAGCCATGATCTTGTCGCAGTGCTGGCATTTGTACTCACCGGAACCGTCCTCGTCGCTCTCCTCCTTTTTAACGCTCTCGCTTTCTTGTAAATTCTGCGCCGTGTTCGGGAAGGAATCGTCGTCCGAGTCGAAGAACTTGTTATCGTCCACTAAATTGTCCAACAACCCGTGGCCGTGCTTCTCCGCGTGTTTCTTCAACGTGTCGGGCCTGAAAAACCATTTCTTACAGACGGTGCAGGAATACTTTTTATCACCGTGGACCAGAGTGTGCCGCTTCAAGTTCTTCAACGACGAACAATATTGACTGCATATCTCGCATTTGTACAGTTCAGGTGCGTTCTCGAAATCGTAGACCTCGTTCACGGTGTTGCTCTCGTCGTCCGTGTCGTCCTCGAGTTTCATCTCCTTCTTCTCCTCCTTACCGTTGTCCTTCTGCTCGTCCGTGCTGATTTGTTTAATCATGTCGTTCACCTTTTCCGTGTGAGATTTCAAATGTTTCACGAGCCTCTGTGGCTTCGAGAAGCACGCGTGGCACAATTGGCAGGCGAGCGGCTTCGCCGCGTGCACCCTTTTATGGTTCTCCATGTTCTCCAGTTTGTAGAACGTCTTCGAGCAAACGTTGCACTTGTGCTTCCTGTCGTGCACGAGGGAATGTTTCTTCAAGCCCCGTTGTGTGTTATAACACTTGGAGCACACGTCGCATTTGAATTTCGATTCTAAAGGGTCCTGACCGTCGTTACTAGACTCGTAATAATTATCGTCGACCTCGTCCTCGCTGTAAGTTTTATTAGGCACTGATTTTACTTTCCTGCTGGACGTACGCTTCTGCGTTATCTCGTCCTCTTTCATATTTACGTTCAACATGTTCTCGTTGAAGAACTCGTCCTGTTTCTTCTCGTCCTCCTCGGAGTTCGGACAAATCTCCTGACTCTCGTCGAGCTTCTCTATGTTCATAGTCTCAGGGATATCGTTATTGCTTTCTTGGGTCAGAGCCGCTTCGTGTAGATTGCTCTCAGAGGTGCAAGGTTCCTTCTCTATCTCTTTAGCTCCCTCGAATCGCAACGAACAGATAAAAAGCTTATCTTGGATGTCAATCTGGCTGGCGTTCAGACCAGATTCGTCTCTGCAATACGCGTCATTGTTCTGAATGAACTCCTGAGGATTCGAGACTACTCGCATCTCTTCTTTAACAAAATAGTCCTCCTGACTGATCTGCTTTTTCGGTAACAGTGTACTCAACTTCGACTCTGTCTGCGTACACGTGTCCTGAAATATTTCAATCCGTTTAATATCGATCCGTTTACTCGGAACGGGTTCGTCATTTACCACGATCTCAGTTTTGGCTGGTTTATTGAAGTACATTCGCAGTTTCGCATCGGAATGTTGACACTGTTGTCTGAATTCATAAGCGACCGTCGCCTTGTAAACGCAAACGTCGCAGATCAGTGAAGGCAATCCGTCTTGCTCGTGGATCTCTACAGACCCGCAGACTTGTATCTTTTGCGAGAGACTAGAATAATCGTTTACTTGTTGGTTTGTACAAAAAATAGATGACAAGTTCGCACTCTCCGTAAGGCAGATCCTGCATATTCTGTCCATGTTAATCGGTAAGTCGAAGTACTCGGTCATTATTTATCTGTTCGCAGTACGTTTCCTGGAAAAATCGTAGATTTCATTGAGCATCGCATCCGAACTTAATTCGTTCCAAGCTACAATAATAGAACTGAAACGTAAACTGTATTGGAACGAGTTGTACGAAACAAGAATAAAAATGTGTGCTGACTCGTAAAATGTTATTTTTCAAAGGAGATATTAAAAAAAAAAAAAGATTAACGTACAAAAATGAGAGGTTCTCAACCTTTCGGGTGTCGCACATTATCTATCACGATAAAAGACAATGGTAACAATGATAACACGTCCAAGTTCCTTCGGAGGAGCATTCAGACTTTCCATGGAATATCACGACTCCCCCGTAGAATCGTTACCGTATGTTAACTAACAATCTCCCGTGTCTCATTGTCAGTTGCAGATCATACGTATATATTGTGCAAGACTGTTCTTGGTTCTACCAAAAAATTCGGACACTTCTCACAGTCTTTTGTTCAATGGCTTCTTTCCATGCATCGTGCGTGTTTGTAAAGAAGGTTGAGAGCAATCTGAAACGAACGCAACGCTAGACGACGACCATACACACAATCCTGTGTATATGTGCACGTGAGATAATTAAGTAGAAATACACACGTACGAACAATGCGTATTTTATTTAATCTAACATAATCGAATATAAAATTTGATGCAATTTATATTTAGCGTTTCGCCGATGGTATCACGCATTTTTAATGGCCAATAAAGTGAAGACACTTGTTACTAGTTTCGACGACGCGATGGGAATTTTCTATTTAGAAATCCGGTAAACGGAACGAGTGGTTTCTCTGATTCGCGATAATTCTTAGCTTTCATATCGTCCACGGTACTCTGTTAATCTGTCAAATAAAATAAAAAAAAAAAATGTAAATGTACTCGGGCTGAACTCTCAGATTTTCAACATACGGTGATGCGATCGGGAGGATTAATCCGATTAACTCGGGGCACCACGGAAACCCTTTAAACGATCCTCGAAATATATTTTTTAAATCCCACCATGGCTCTGCGTAAAGTAAAAGGAAACTTTGAACGTATGTTCGACAAGAATCTGACCGACCTCGTCCGCGGTATCAGGAACAATAAAGAGAACGAGGTAACAAACTCCTGCGTACGTTTCACAGCCTCCAAATGACTATCCGCATAGATAATCAGAATGTTCGTTGTTATAACTTGTTTCCAGGCAAAGTACATCGCTCAGTGTATAGAAGAAATTAAACAGGAATTAAGGCAGGACAATGTAGCAGTCAAGGCGAACGCCGTGGCTAAACTAACATATGTAAGCTCTCCTCGTTGTTCATATATCTATTTTCACAGTGAACGTAGTTTTAATCGTGTCTCCATTTACTCAGCTCCAAATGTTGGGATACGATATCAGCTGGGCTGGATTTAACATAATAGAAGTGATGTCCTCTGCGAAATTCACGTACAAACGAATTGGCTACCTAGCAGCGAGTCAGAGTTTCCATGCAGACACGGAAGTATGAACTGCTGATAAAAATCGAGTGATCATTCATCTAATAAATACTCGTTTGCAGCTTCTGATGTTAACTACGAACATGATTCGCAAGGATTTAAACAGCCAGAATCAGTACGACGCTGGATTGGCTTTGAGTGGTCTTTCCTGTTTTATCAGTTCGGATCTGGCAAGGGATTTGGTGAACGATATCATGACACTGTTAACGTCTACGAAACCGTATTTACGCAAGAAAGCTGTACTGATGATGTACAAAGTTTTCCTACGATTCCCAGAAGCTCTGAGACCAGCTTTTCCTAGACTGAAAGAGAAACTGGAAGACCCTGACAGTGGAGTCCAAAGTGCTGCTGTTAATGTAGTCTGCGAATTAGCAAGAAAGAATCCGAAGAATTACTTGAGTCTGGCGCCTGTCTTCTTTAAACTTATGACTACGTCTACCAATAATTGGATGCTGATCAAAATTATTAAACTGGTGAGTAGATATTGATAACGAAGTTTGATAACGAAGGATCGATGAAAGTATAGGCTCGTAATTTTAATAAACGTTTCTATACGACACGTGTATATAAATACATGCATTCAACGTGAGCCAAATTATGAATGTTGATCTTGTTTCACCATGCTCAGTTCTCCACTATAACACTGATCGAACCGAAAATGGGTCGGCGACTTACGCAACCACTAATTGACCTGATTTCAAGGTTTCCATACTAGTTTTAAATTTATTTTATGTCCTATTTAATGTCCGAGACGCGTTAGAAGCGTAGCATGCATTAGCCAGCTTTCATACGTATCTATAAGTTTAATAGAGTAAATTATATTTAGATGTGAGAGAAATATGTTTCTTAGACTGTAATTATATTTCCAGTTTGGCGCATTGACACCTCTAGAACCTAGGCTTGGCAAAAAATTAATAGAACCCCTTACAAATTTGATACACAGGTATTTAACGAACATTCGTTCACTGCTTATAAAGTAGCAAGCTAAACGCTATTCTGGTTTACTGTCTTTAAGGATGTATTGGCTATTATATACCTTAGAAAACGCATTTCCTATAATTAAAAAGAAAGCAGACATTGGAGGAACAATGCTAATAATAAGTGACTACGTGCTGAAAAGTATTGAAGAAAATATCCAATTAATTGTTGATGTATATACAAAATTTGTAGCTATTTACGTGCTCTACATGAAAGATTTTATGTATTTTTCTTCTAATTTGAGTATTTAATGAG